ATTATAGCGTAACATATCATAGCGTAACATATCATAGCGTAACATATCATAGCGTAACATATTATAGCGTAACAGATGGCCACAAAAGATTACCGTCTTCATTTTTGTATCGCTCACATACAAACAAAATTGAATAATTAAATAAAGCACTAATCTGTGAACAGAATGTTTTTGAATGCTGCTTTTCTTTTGTTAATTCCAACATGCAAATTAGTTGTAGAATCTAATTTACTTTGGTGGTTAATTTAGTGGAATATGTATGATTTAGGAGGGAAGGGAGGGTTATCTGAAGGAAGGGGATTAAAATTAGAATGGCAATGTGAAAAGGCCCTGTAATCTAGTCTTTGATGGCAGGAGTGACAGTGATGATCGTGTGTGAGTAAGGCATCAGTGATGAAGGGTCAGGTGATGATGATAACGGCACAGTGTTGACAAGTACTGTTGTGATTCTCCTGAGCCAAATACATGAAAGAAGGTCACTGACCTCGGATTTCAGTCCTATTCCCGTTACAAGCCAAATCCTAATAGACTCCATTAACAGAAGGAGAGAGGAAGAGAAAGGCCTGACGCTGGAGTAGTCTGCATATGTGATGACTTGCAGTCTGACAGGCTGAATGAACCAGGCCAAGAGCCTGATAACCTCCTCTTTCCTTATTATTTCCCCTCATTTAACTCACTGTGTGCCTCCATCACAGTCCATTTTCTCGCATGTGTGTGTGTACTTGTGTGTGTGCAAGATCCAGGCGAGGAAATCTCTCTCTCCTGCAAGCACGTCTGTTATTTCACAGCAATTTTGGATAATGATTTATTTTACAATCCACAATTGGAAAGCCTTCCGCTTGAAAGGCATGGATAAAATAGTAATCCCGTAGCAATTATGTTGTTAGAGATAGTCACATTCATTGGGATTCACTGATACAACTGGCATGGACCTATCAACACTTTAGAATTATTCGAACAAGCGCACACCGCCCTTCTCATAGGAACTGCACACACTGTGAGATTTGTTGTGCTGCTAAATGAGTAGCATCTCTTGTGATTTCTACAATTAATATTGCCATGTAATACATTAATGTATATATTTATTCATCTTTTTTTACAATTAATATTTGTTCGATGGAAGATCCGAAGTTTCCATTAGGAATGTGCATACTCAAATGCTTCACATTATGATGAGTATCAGCTGAAGAAATGGGTTTTGAATGATTATTTGCATTAAATTAAAAACAGGGCTACTTCCTGGAACATTAGACAAATTATTAAAACCAGTATTATACATACATTTTCAGTGGACAGCTGTGGGTGGAAAGATTGATGAGAAGGCAATGTAAGACAAGGTTTCACATCAACATCTGCTTTAGCTTTGGTCTTAGGAAGTTAGTTTTGTCCAAATTCCAATATTTCCACATGTGTCATCAACTTTGCTTTGCTACAGCAACTAGCCTTCTGTTTAGCTAACATAGTGAAAATGTGTCATTTAAAATAAAATTGTCCCTGTCTGATGACTGAAACGCATCTTTGTTTATGGAGCAACTTTCACAACCTTTTCGGATGCCTAAAGTGCTTAACACATGTGATAAAAGACATGAGCTCAGAAATGTCCGGGTCAGAAAAGCCAACTCACACTGTAAATCAGCATTCATCCATTAATCCTTCTAGGCTCAGGACGAGGAAAGCTGTTGTTGGTTTAGCATCCAGGAGAGAGCAGAGCCTGTCTTAGCTAGTAGAAGCTAACTGTTAGCATTAGCAACTCCACAACATGTCAAAACTCTCTTCGGCTTATGTTAATTGTGGAGATAAAACATCTACATTTTTTAACCTACGAAAGACGAGTGAATGAAGGCAGCAAAAGAGTTGCATTGCTGTTAGCCAATCAGATTTAAGATATTTGGATATCAATAATAAAAATGAGTAAGACTCCAAATCCTGCTATTTTCTGCCCCCTCACTCCACCGACATATTTTTACTACCTGAAACAGGAGCGCCAGAGCTCGTTTTCCCCACAGAAAACGACCCACAAGCCATTCATTTATACCAGAGACCACTGAAATTCATTGAAATAGTGTGTGTGTGTGTGTGTGTGTGTGTGTGTGTGTGTGTGTGTGTGTGTGTGTGTGTGTGTGTGTGTGTGTGACCTTCAAATAGCAGAATTTTATTTAATTTTTTTCTGGATCAATCTGTTGTTTGTGGATGTTTGTTTTAAGCGTTGGTTGTTTGCAACACAAACATGATCAGTTATGAGTTAAACATGGTGAAAGCATTAAAAACCTGCTCTTAGGTGAAAGGAGATGTTGGGTCTCATGCAAAACACCTTCACCTTTAAAATTCCTGGTTCAAATCTCACAAGTGCTTTTTGTCTTTGAACAAAAATGAACCAATTCAATTTAAATAGTCTAATTTCTACCCTCAGCTCAGGCAACAATAGTCAAAGCAATAACCTTATTGCCACAGCTAGTCACAGACGTCAATATTTTATTAGTCTATTCTTAGAATGTCAACCTCACTGATTTGACTTGTTGCTAGGCAGTTGTTTAGTTTTAGCCGGTATTTTCTGGGAAGACCTTTCACATTCATTTTCTTCTAATCATCCAGGGAAAATCAGCACTTTAAGTCACAAGCTTTTGAATTTCTGATTGATGAGACAAATACTTTGATATTTAGTAAATGAAGCCTTTTGTTTGTTTCTGATGGTGTTAGAAACATCAGGGGTGGTTTAGATTATGAAACGCTTGATTCAACCCCCCCCCCCAGTTTTCTTTTCCGCTCTTTTATGTCCCAAGTTTAGGACGTTCCTCTACAGAGTCGTGTCCCTTGTGACTAATGGGTGCACCTTTACATGCAATTTACATAGAAAACATGTAAACCGAAACGTCGGGTGGGAAAAATCATAAATTGCTCTTACTTTCCTCTGCTGTTTAACCACCGTGGTTTCTTAAAAGAAAAATGCGCATTTTCAAACCTTTGCAGTATGAAACAGATCTTCAGCCCCTGGAGACATTAAGATGAGGTGTGCGACAATTCAAAACAATCGACTGTGTTAGGTCTGTTACAGTGTTAGTGCCAGGAAAGCTTATGTTAGTACTGAACACATCAAAGGAAAAAATATCATCTTGGTACCAGATTTATGAAAAACTTTATCCATAATGGCCCCCGTCACAGGAGGAGATTCCTCTTGAATCATAAGGATGTGATTCGTAGGGATGGAAAACTACAGAAACGAGTCAAAAGCAAGAATAAAGTTACCCCACTATGCCTGTTGGCTGTTGCTCCTTAACAATGTTTTATGCACATTTTGAAGACATAATGTTGACTAAATCAAGTGGGGCAGCAGTTTTGGGAGATCAAGGAGCTGCTGCATTTCAGGAAAAAGCAACTCTTTAACGCTGTGAAGCTGGGAGGCTTAATTAGCAAGTGAGGGGGAAGCTTAGTTTGGAAACCACAAGGCTTTTACTGGAAATCGGAAGTGCTAATAGGTTCCCTGCCCATCGGAGGTCATCACCATAACTCAGAGGAGCAGAGGACGTTTTGTTTTCCCTCTTCTGACTTATTTTGGTGTTGTACCATAAACCAGCCTCTGGTTTACCCACTGCTGTTCCCCATCATTATCTTTGTTGAATAATTATCCAACAAATGTTTAAAAGCAGCTCTAAATTGAAATGCCATGGGCTGTAAGAGATAGAGATAAATTATTTATGCCTTTTTGATGAGAACTAGCTGGCACCAAGAAGCGAGCACTCAGACATTTTAAAATGCAGCAGCAGGATCTCAGAGAGAGCAAACTTTCTGGAATGTTTGAGGAAAAGTGCCAAAGGACCTGAAGCTCCACGGGCTCACTCATCCCAGGGAACAAAACACATTTTCATGCTAGTATTTAAAAGCCAGAGCAGCAGGTGGACCAGAAACATTCTCTGACTGGCCGGTTTATTGGGAACACCTAGCGGGACCAGGTTGTTTTGCCTCCAGATCCATCTTAATTCTTCAGGCCTTCAGATTCAACCAGGTGTGGGAAACCCTCCTCAGAGGTTCTGATCCATCCTGACACGACAGCATCAGCTCCATCCATGAGAACCATTTGTTCCTCTATACCCCAACATGTCTGGACTGGACTGAGATCTGGTGACTGTGGAGGCCGTCAGAGTCCAGAACTCACGGTCATGTTCCAGAAACCAGTTGGCAATGATGTAAGCTTTGCAACACGGCGCATGATCCTGCTGGAAGTAGCCATCAGAAGATGGGTCCATGTGGTCATAACGGGATGGACATGGTAGGCTGTGACGTTTAAATCAGACTCCAGCAAAACTATGGGGTTCTCAGAGGGGACAGGAACCTCCCACTCTACCATCACACCACCAGAAGCATTGATACAATGATAAATGACCCGCACTTGTATAGCACCTTTCTGAGTATGACTCCAAAGCACTACAGACCCGCACTTGTATAGCACCTTTCTGAGTATGACTCCAAAGCACTACAGCGTATCATTCATCCATTCACACCCTGAAACAAGGCAGGATGGATCCATGCGTTCTTGTTGGCGACATCAAAATCTGAGCTGACCACCTGAATGTTGCAGCTAAAATCCTTCAGGTGCTGTTCTGTAGACCCCAGCAGGAACCAGCTACTTTGCCATCTTCTGCTCCATCGAGAACCAGCATGCCTACTCTCCTCTGACCTCTGGCATTAAGACATGTTCATCCTCACAACTGCTTCTCTTTTTCAGACTCATCTCTTGAGATGGTTGTGGGTACTCAGACCAGCCCATAATACCACCTTAAATCACCTCTCTCATTCCGAGGCTCCGTTTGAACTACACTATGTTCTCTTGACATCTACAGCAGATGTCGGAGTTAAGGATTGCAGATGATTTGTTTGTTAGGTGTACCAGTGAGTGGATTTAAAATGATTAAGATTAATATTCTGAGGGACGATGAGCTCCAACTAGGAACTTCAGCTCTAAAAGGCACACATGAACTAAAGAGACAGAAGGATGCAAATCCACATCAGATAAGAATTTCTTATTATTCCAATAAAAAATACATTCATACAGAAATATAACAATTTAGCAAAACAATCTCAAATAAAAATTTCATAAAGCATAAACATAACAATTTTACAAAAGTTTTTTTTTCCTTTTGTACAAAGATTGAGTTGAGAACAAAGAGCTGTGAGAGACTGAACATCTGGGTGGTGGGATGAGAGCGATGATGGGAAGTGTAAAAGATGTGAGCAAATAAAAATAAAAACCCAACATGAGGCTGAATCAAGGCTCAATTATGTCTGGAGCAGACCCGACTGCTGCTGTTACCGAGAGGAGGAGGAGGAGGAAGATGCTCGCCTGCACTCCCCAATCTCCTGCAATACGCGGTTTTAAGTTTGTACTCATCGTGCCTCCTTGCCCTTTCTGATCTGAAATCCATGCATGGGAGCGAGCGTGCCACAACGCGACTTGCTGCAAAGTTGGACTCTTACAGCCCGGTTGTTGACCTGCAGCGGGAGGCCCTGATCGCCCCACCCTCAAGTGTTAATGAGGAGCTCTGCCACATCCATCCTCCAACTTCAGATCATGGGGATACTTTTTATTTTCATGTGCATCATCAGTGCTGATGTGCACCCCCCCACTGACACACACACACACCCTCGCTTCTGTGGTCTCCATAATACTGTTGCAGCTTGGCTAAAACAACGCGCTCCAGACAGGTCAATAACCAACCTACACAGTCAGCAGTCTGTGACAGATTCCATGCCAACAAAGCCTTTAGCAATTCATTACGGAGAGGCAGTACAAGGCGAGGCCTGTCCGACTGCAGCCTGTTAATTACAATAAATCTTTAGCTTTTTCTTCAGTCCCACTTGCAGGGATGGAGGGGTGAGTGGTGATGGTGGGGAAGGTGTTTTGTTTGTTTAAGCTGGTCTTTTCTGTGTCGTTGTGCATACTACACAGTAGTCTAAACGAATTTAAGTGCTCTTAGCATACAGCATTTGTCTTTTTACACATGTTCAGACTTAATTTAACTCTGATCAACTAAACTCCAACTTAAAAATGTACAAAAATTAAATTAAAAGGCAGTTAACTGAAAATAGGTACATTTCTAAACTTTCCTAGAATCAAAAATGAAACGTTCCTGTCGCTAAGAGGCACGAGTTAATCTTGTAATTGAGCCGTGATCCAGCTTGTCACATCACCCAGACAATCAACGTGACATCCTGGGGGCGGCTGCCCGCCGCCACCACAGGGCCCAGTCACTTGCATAAGGCACCATTCAGGTCAACAGTGCATTATTAGATAGAAAGAAAGTACACTCACACACTCGCTCACACACAATGCAAAAATGAGTCCTTGAGGCATCAAATGAATGTAAATTAGTAACCCGCGGTTAAATCTCCAAGCAGATGACAGAAAAGCAGAAGGGAGATGGATGAGATGTGGAGAAATCATGGAAGCTTTATGTACAACATCGTAACATTTAACCGTTCGCTTCTTAGCTGCACTTTTATTGAAACTATTTGCAGTTCTGATTACAGTGGAAACTGGAAATGAACAAACCCTAGAACCATGCAACACCTGTCTATGATACTGAAGTTATAGTATGGTCGTGTTATACCTCTAAGCACACAGCTTATACAGTTGGACTACAAAGGAGCTTTGCAGCTTGTAAAAAAATAATAAACCAGGCTACATAACACATTGCACATTTAGTAGCTGCACCAAAAAACACCAAACAAAGCTCCTGTCAGACGGCGGCCCGCTGGAGGGAGGGGGGTGGTTTTCACACCAGAATGCGTCTCTCTCTCTCTGGTCCAACCCCAAATGGTCTCAGAGAAGCCCCCCTCTCCCTCTTCAGAGTCTGGGTGCCACACAGACGGGGCAGGTGCAACCTTCCTCCTCACACCGCCACCTGGGAACGTTCCCCCGCAAACCCACTCAGTCCACATCAGCCCCGCTTTAATCCTCCTCTTGGGGGGGGCAGTCAGCCAATTGCAGACATTCACAGTGCACACATGCTTGCCTCAGACGGGTTTGTAAAGTACCAGTGTATCAGCTGTCCTGGAGATGTCCCAGAACATCATGCACCATACATACAAGTCACTCACTCTTTATGCTCGTGTCTCTCGTTTTTTTTGTTATTTTTGTCCTTTTTGTCTGTGTGTGTGTGTGTGCGTGCGTGCTTAAAGTCCTCAATCAAAAACACCCCCCACCCCCAACATCCATGATTCTGTCCTCTTGTTGCGACAGTCAACCTTCAGAGCGCCCTTCTCCAAAGAGAGGTCCCGGAGGCACTGGGTATGGTGCAAAACAGCATGCTTTGGCTGGAACTCACTCCCTCCCCTCTGCTCTGGGACAGTTCAACCATGAGACTGGTCGGGAGACGGCGTTTGTTTTGTTTTTTTTCCTCTCTCCACTTTAAGAAAAAACAAAAAGAACAGGATTCCCCCTTTGCTGTGGTGCTTGGTTGGTGCTGGCCCTGCTTTAGATGTGTCTCTTCATGTGAAGGGCCAGGTGGTCTGACCTGGAGAAGCATCTGGGGACAGGAAAAGGGAAGCAGGTCATCCACGACGCAGGGGGAGGAAGTCATTTCAATTTTACATTAACTAACAAATACAGACAGGAAATAGAGCTCGTTTAGAATAAACCACTTCCTCTTTAGCTACCGTAGGCTGATGTTAACATCTGAATGCTCAAAGGATCTAATAAAGATGTTAGATGTGTAACGTTCTGAGCAATGACAGATTCAGAGACGATCTTGGCACCAGCTATGTGCCAGACCACATTTTTGGCTGCCTGAGTGAAATGCAGAATTTGCGTCGCCGTTTTGGGCGACACAGTAAACGATGCAGCTGACGCTTACCTGTCACAGTGATTGCATTTAAATGGCTTGGCGCCGGTGTGCTTCCTGAAATGTCTGGTCAACTCGTCGCTCCGTGCAAAGCGCCACTCGCAGCCCTCCCACGAACACCTGTATGGTTTCTCACCTGCAGAGCAGACCCAGAACACCGTGAGGGGAGCTCAAACGCTTGCGGCAACAACAGAAGGCGTTGCAGGCTTCCCGCTCAGTCTGTGGCTGATACTTAAACACATTCAAATCACTCAGCCAGAGGGCCGGGCGGGATGACAACATAGTTGCTGACAAGCAACTCGACTCTCAAATTCCACAAAACCTGTTGGCTCAGCTCGGATTTGATGCAACCTGAAGCGTGCCAAGAATGCTAGCAGGGCGGTGTGCGGTAGGCGTGTTGGAGGAATGAATAAAAATGAAAAATTAAGTCAAACAAAGCCACTTTTCTTATGTCTCGCTGCTTTATGAAAACAAAAAACATTCAAATGAGCATTCAAAGCCCTGGTAACTCAGCCCCCCCCCCCCCCCCCCCCCCCCCCAGCTCCCGGACCATTCACCCTTTCCCATGATGAAACTCAATCTGTTATGAAGTCCTTTTATCTCCCATGTGCAACCCCCTCCCTCCCTCCCTCCCTCCCTCAGTCAGTCACATTCCACATAGATTAGGTCACAGTTTAGGTATCCAGCCATGCAGAGCTAATGCTCGCAGCGCTCCAGCTGAGGACATCATGGGACGTGGACCTTTAATTACATTACACAATGAGTGGACAATGACATTAGGGTGGACGACTGAATTACCAGCACTTCTGACGTTCACTCAATAAAACCTGATTTTATTTTTGAATAGCTTCCCCGCTCCTCCTCCCATCTTTACACACGAGGCCCGCTCACGTCCGACTGAGACTCACCTGTATGAGTGCGCTGGTGTGCTTTTAGGTGCGAGCTCTTCGTGTAAACCTTGCGACACCCGTTGAAGTGGCATTTGTGTACCCGCCTCCGGCCGTCCGGAGACGCCTCCCCGCAGGTGAGTCCCGTCTTGTCTGAGCCCTTTGCTGCTCCGCCGCTCCTGATTTTGACGGGCGAGTGCAGCTCGCTGTGCGTGGCCACCCAGCCGTTCACGATGGCGCTGGGCTCCGGGGTGGCCTCTGGAGAGGACGGGGGAGTGCTGATGACAGAGGGGCTAAAAGGTCCAGAGCCAACCAAGACAGAACCCAGAGGGTTGGAGGTAAAGCTGTGCGTGGGCGAGAGCTCTTCAGAACTGTCTGAAGCCTCGCTGCTGGCGTCCGAATTTACACTGTTGCTGTCCAAGATCTGGCTGTCCTGATTGTCCTCTTCGTGGGCCAAAGGCAGCCTTGGGTCAGACTCGGCCTTGGTCTTGTCCCCGCAGGCCAAGATCAGCTTGCTCCAGAGGTCCTCCTGACTGTCAAACTTCAGGTCAGATGAGGAGACATATGGCTCACTCTGTAGGTAGCGCTCCAACTCCAAGCACGTCTGCACAAAAGCAAATACATAACAGAAAACCATGAGGAAAAAGAACAGTTGTGGAAACAGCCATGCTGGAGAGAGGTTTGCTCACACCAGCAAAAAGCTTCTGTGAGGAAAATCCTCTTAAATCATGCATGTGCACATCCCCAATATGCTTCTGGTGGTGTAATATGTGTTAAACGCTTACAGCAGGAAGCGCAAACCAGGAAATCCCAGCTAAGTCCCGCACTAATGATCAAGCTTCAATCTCCAGGAACTTATTAAGAAATGAGCATAAATATTAAATATTAGGTGAATTATTTTGTTTAGATCTGCTTTAAAAAAACGAGACAAAGTCTCAAAGTTGATTGAGTAGATGTTTAAAGAGACTGTGTTTTAGGCTGGTGCTGCAGATTTAAATGATGCACAGTGAAACTGAAACAGATCAGCACTCAGGAGGAAAGCCATGCTCAACCTCAGCTCTCCAGAGCACTCCACCATGACTCACTGAACAAATTTTAGAGTCCTTTTAAGGAAGCTGCTCCACTTCCCGTTCCAACCTCAGAGGGCCATTCGGCTGCCTTTCCTCCAGCCCCGCTAACACGCAATCACATCCTCCCTCAGCAGCTCCAGCTCACCTACATGCAGCCCTTAAAGTGTTCATTAGAGGACAGCAGCTGGGCCGAGGCACGTGCAGAGTAAATGTTTTCCTCCAGGCTCACTCTACATGTTCCAGCTGCGCTGGGGTCTACTCATGCGAGGAGGGACTGGCCAAGGCTGACATTTCATTGTATCATGAAGTGGAGCTCATTTAGGTCCACGGATGCTGCAGATGGGTGCGTTGCAAAGAAAAAAAGTAAACGTTATGGAGCAGGTATGTGTGAGGTGAGAAAGCAAGCCAGCTTCGCTGCACTTCCTTCCCTAAGCGTGGTGAGAGCAGCGGGCTAACGCTGGAGATGCCTCATCCATGCCGCCAGCTGTCAGACTGACACACTGATCCACTTCAGCGTGCCAAAAAACTTCAGAATGAAACTGATAATAAAATGAGTCGGGGCGAGCGGAGTTTACTACCGCTATACCAGGCTGCTTGGCTAATAAAACGGCGGTGCTGATCTATGACAGCAGCATGAAATCGGCTCAGTTCCGCTCAGAGAACAAACAGCTATCGGATCAAACAAGGCGTGTGTATTTATTTACCTGCTGCCAGTACTCCTCCAGTGACGGTAAGGCTGAGAAATAGCCCGTGTCGTGAACTATTTGAAGTTCTTGAAAAATACTACACATGGGTAAAACATCCATTTTCCACAGAACTTGTGTGTTTTAGAGAAAATCAAACTATCGACGCACTTAAATATCGGATAGGACAAGAAGAAGAGAAAAATAAACACCCAGTGAATGAAGAAAGCGCGATTCCCTGCGGTGTAAGCGGAGTCTTGTTTCTAGCAGCAGTAAACAGAGGTCCGTCCGTCCGTCAGCGCTCCACTTCCTTCTTCTCCTCTCGCTACGGCTCAAGATTAGCAAACACAACACCGGACTGGAGGGAGAACAACTGCGCTCTGAAAACTTCCCTATTCAAACCTCGACGCCCACCGCCCCCCTCCCCGCGACTGCGCCGAGCCTCGAGCGCCTCAGCCAATCAGCATCGAGTAGCGTAAGCCGCGTACAGGTCAATGAGCTCACGAGCGACCAATCACATTTCTCCATTCGGAATCTTCTCGGGTTCTAATTGGTCAGTGGAACTTCTCAGTGGTTGGCTGGTTATTTTTAGGCGTGTATATAAGACAGGGCGGCTCGCGCTTCCTCTGTAGCGCTCTAGCTTCACGTTTGGCCACAAACAGCGTATGTGAGCCGGAGAAGCCCGTCCTCATGTGGAAAACATAACAGCAACTCCTGTCACAGGTATCAGCTGCGAGTCTGCGACAGCGCTGCTTTGGGAGGGCTGAGCTCCAGCTGGGAGAGACTTGTCTCGGGACGCCATGACTAATAGATGGCAGGGTATTATTATTTTATCAGTCCGCACGTGGACAGACAGGGAACATTTGTTGTCTTGTCAGCTGACGCATTGCATGTGTTTTTATCAAAAGGCTCAAAAAGGTCAACCCCCCCCCCCCCCCCCCAGCAAAAAAAAAAAACAGAAAAAAATATTTAATTTACTTTTCTAACCTAATTTGCACTTAAAAGAGCACAAGACAAACTGGTTATTCAGCAGAAGTTCCCCAAAGTTAGTTTGTTTTAACCTATTTTAGATATTATGATGCACACAAGAAAAAAAAATACTCCTGTTTAAGTTAATACAAAACTATTCCCAAGATCATTTTAGTGTAGAGAAACTGATCTAGTGATTTCACTTAGTGCATGAAAAAAGTTTCCTACTGAGGAAGCCGTCTTTTACCACAAGAACACAGAAATAGAGTGGAGATCAGATGACAAAGACTTGTGTAAATTTGATGAAGATGTACAAAATTAGACCTGTATATATATATATATATATATATATATATATATATATATATATATATATATATATATAATCAAGAATTATGTTCACTTTCTTTGGCTTTATTTATTTCTAGGTCTAAAATGTTTCTGTTGCTGAACTACAAAATACTAATGGCAGACTTTGAACCCCAAATATTACTTGTTGAATCACAGACATTTATGAATAAACACATATATAATAAAAACATACACATTATATGTGCATTCATGGTGATTAGTTGTAGATTTTTACCAATTAAGCAACTTTTTTCTTAATTCTGCAGGTCTGAAATGCTACTGGGGTTCCAACTGTTATGCAGGTAACCACTTGTTTAACGTGACTTGTTATTTAGAAAATGAAATAAAAATTTTAAAAGTTTTTATTAAAATCATTGCTTAAGTTTGAAGAGAAACTATCAATAAATTAAATAAACACACACACACACACCCTGCTTAAACCTTCCCCCTTTGATGTTAATCAAAATAAAGGTAGGACCATTTGCATCACCAGATTGCAACACTCGGAATTCCTCTGTTGTCTAGTGATACTCCTCTGCATTCTCTCACAGGAGACATTTCATTCCAGTAACATTCCAACACATACTTGGACTTTAGCTACGTCATCCTGACTCATTCTTATCATTTCCTGTTTGGAGAAACGCTCGTTTGCCATAGTGGCATCTCTTCCGGCAGCTGTTCATGAGCACAGAGTCGCTGTGCAGCCTGGCACGCCATCGCCTGATGGGATAAACATCGTTTCAACACAGGAGGCGCGTTGTTTTCTGAGTGCCAGTGTTTTTCTGAGTAGACAACTGAACCCCCTTTGTGCTGATCCCAGTTGTGAGGTCTTATTGGTCATCCACAACATCTGATTCAGTCATATGGCAGTGGGATGTCTTTTGAAGCCTGGAGCTGACCACATTACACCCTGCAAAGGAATTTCAATCTATTTTTTAGATACAAAGAGGATTCATCCTTCATGTTCAGCCAGAAGTGGACACTTGAACTCTAGGAGTCTTCCATCTGGTTACAACTTCTTTTGACACTGAAACACAAGAGATCCAGTGTCATCTCATTACTCACTCTTGCTTTGCTGAAGCTTCTTATTGTAGAACAGAGTGAATATCTGGTCCTGTTAGAGCACCACTTCCTGCAGAAGATATTGTTGATTAAGCTTTTTTGAAAGTGCATGTGTGTCCTGAATGGTGGCTTCTGTCTTCCAAGGCCAGATCCACAGCTTTGTCATAATTATGTAATTCTAGCTCGGCCAGTAGCCACAGGAAAGAACAATTACAGGATGACCCATTTGAATGCATCACTGTCAGACCAATCAGTGAGCTGTTCCGAGAATCTTTCCGAGTAACCTGGAAATGTGGGTTTGTGATTTCTAACTTGCCCTCCAAGACCTGTCAGCATATGGACACAGAAACTATTTCTCTGTTGCAAATGTAATATGTTCATAAACTAACATGAAAACTGAATTTAGAGTAGCCTTATTTAAAAGTGTAATCGATTCTAAAAAGAAATGTGGTCCACAACTGAATTTGTTTTTGTTCTCTTTAAAGAGACACTGTGCAACATTTTCATAATTTTAAATAATTTCTTAGAGCCAGTATGATTTGGCCAGCCATACAAAAAAGTGCAGGTAGAATATCGCCGGGGGGGGGGGTGGGGGGGGGGGGGGGGGGTGGGGGGGGGGGGGTTGGGGGGGCAGGTCTGGGTGTGTTAAGAATTTTTCAGGCATCACCCACCAAATCCCTAAAGTGCATAGAAAATAGGGCTGCACGATATTAGGAAAACCTGTGATATTTGATAACAGTGCTTAATATTGCGATATCAATATTACTCACGATAAATGAACAAATACTAAAGTATGCAGTGTTGATGTCGTCTGGCGTGTGACGTCTGCTCTGGGTTCAAAGCAAACAAAAACTAATGCATGAATTCCATTGCAACATAACATTTTTATTGCAAAAATATGCAGCTGCACCTGCTACTGTATTAGCAGCAAAACAACAAACTGCATGCATGCAGTTTCTCAGTGACTTTAAAACATCACCACCACCATAAAACTTTTTCTCATGCTCCAAATACAGAAAAACATCCCTTACCAGGGTTTTTGAATAAATAAAAAAAATCAGAAAATAAATTTATTAGTTTGTTAAATAATAGTTAACATCACTTACATGCAACAGCAAATTCTCTCATAGCTACTAAACATTTTCTCCACTTATGTGGTTATGATATAAGGCTGTTGCTGCAATTGGGAAGTGAACTGTGCTGGGCCAAACTAGGAGAATATTAAGATTTTCTGAGGGAAAGAGCAAAACAATTGTCTCTCTTTCAGAAGAGGAACTGGCAAAAAAAAACTACTTGGAAAATATGTGAAAATGTTTGTTTTTAACCCCAAATTGAACAAGTTTACCTAGATCTTAAAAAGCAGCTCAGATGATGAAACTGCAACTATGATTCTGATAACAAGCTAACAAATTGAACTAGCTCCTCTTAAGATAACCAGCTAGCAGAGCTTCTGACTGACAGTTTATGTGCAGCAGCAAATCAACTATCCTGATAAACAAGGTTATAAAGCTCATAAATGAAAAATCACTTTGATTTGTGGGGGAACTTTTCCAGGCCCTCTTTAGCAGGGTGGGACTGGGAGGAGAGTGCTGTAGCCTTTTAGTTGGAAGCTAACCGGAGCCTGGGGCTCACATCACCACCTGGTGGAACACTAGCGACATGAAGGTAGGTTGGTTCACCGGCACGTCGGAGTCAGCCCGGTTATTATCAGCTGCTTAACGACACCGAGCGGACTCACGTTCACATTTGAAAGCAGCGCTGATTCCAGAAACCTCAGCACAAAGTGCGTTCGTTAATCTGAGCCAGCATGACGAACAAGGGAAGCGAGCGACAGCAGAAAGCGGGGGCGGAGTGGAGATAGTGGAATTTTGGGGTAAGGGTCTACGTAGGGGGCGGGTGTATTATGTGAATGGACCCATCTGATTGGCCGCATATCAGAGGGGCTACATTTGATTGGTCAAATAATACTTCCGCGTAAAAAACAGAGCTGGTTTACAAAAAGTTGATGTATGACACGGATGGAAACGTTTGAACCAAACATTTATCGCCGTTTTTGACGTGCTTTGCGATGGGCCTATCGCACGTCTTATTATCGCAATGACGATAATTTTTTCTATATATTGTGCAGCCCTAATAGAAAACTATGCTATCATGATTACAGTTCTTCTATCCATTTATCTATCTTTTCGTTTGATCCATTCCTGACACCACCCTCTGCATTATCTATCTATCTATCTATCTATCTATCTATCTATCTATCTATCTATCTATCTATCTATCTATCTATCTATCTATCTATCTATCTATCTATCTATCTATCTATCTATCTATCTATCTATCTATCTATCTATCTATCTATCTATCTATCTATCTATCTATCTATCTATCTATCTATCTATCTATCTATCTATCTATCTATCTATCTATCTATCTCTGTCAGTCAGTCAGTCAGTCAGTCAGTCAGTCAGTCAGTCAGTCAGTCAGTCAGTCAGTCAGTCAGTCAGTCAGTCAGTCAGTCAGTCAGTCAGTCAGTCAGTCAGTCAGTCAGTCAGTCAGTCAGTCAGTCAGTCCGTCCGTCCGTCTATCTGTATATCTATCTATCTGCTGGTGACTGGGGGTGTGAAGTGCGACGACAGAGAGCGAATTGAAGCAACCCCCCCCCCCCCCCCCTCCCATGCGTCTACCAATCAGCAGCTACTTTGAATGAGGGCGAAAGAGCAAAGAGTACTCCGACCCTTTTCATCAAATATTTTCAAATTTGGGATTTCTACCTATCATCGCATTTTTGTGGGGGGGCAGTCACTATATTTAGGCGGGCATTGCCCCTCCTTGCCAACATGGGCCTGGCCGGTGTGTGCTAAAATGGCCCTTTACCTGTGGCCAGAATTTTCTACTTGCAACTTCAGAGTGTTGGTCCATTCTGTCGGACTTAGAGAAATGAGCTAACATACCTGGTGCTGCAGTCTGCTTCCAGCCCAGTTCCTGTATGTTTTAGATCATGAACACA